GCAAAGTCACGTCAGTTACGTGTGAGACAGCATGAAAAACGGAATGATTTGCCGCGTAGGAAGACGAAAGGAGAAGAAATCGAAGGATTCCGTCGGGGGAAAGGGCTGGAACGTTTCAAATTTAAATGGGATAGATTATACGGAATCGTAATGGCACGCGACCGGAAACGGCTGGCAGGCGCGTCGAAGCACCGGGAACGTTAGCTCTTCCGCCTTCGCAGGAATAACTAAGTTTTCGGATCTGTTCGAATCCTGGTGGGCAGCCGATAAAGGATCTGGCATTGGCGCACGGTGCCCGGGTCACAGACCATTAAGTTCCAGGTTTACCACAATAAGCACGCTATTCCATCCTGGTCGGCGGGTTACCGAGCTATTATCGAACCAATGAGCCACGACCACTGATTCACCAGTGGATTTTTCCCATTCCCGGATGCAGAAATTCGATGCACTCTTACTTAGCTCGAGGTCGACTGCGTTCGTTGTACCAGCCTTTTTTCCGCCGCCGCATTGTCCTGAAATTGTTCGAGTGACCATAATTGATGCGAAAATACCTGCCGCTGGAACTGAATATTCGCTTTTTTCACTTCTGCCCACTTCACGGATAAATGAATAAATTATTTTCTTGCGAAACTGCAGCTACGTTTCCGATCGGAAGTCGCGAGGGCGAAAGTTGATCAAGTTGAGAAATTTCGAAGCAAAGTTCTCGAGATACTTTGTGAGAAATTAAAAATTCCGCATCAACTTCTTACATTTTACCCGCGATAACTTTTTTTTTATTTTATTTTGGAACGATTATCTCGTTGGAATACACGTCGCGTCTTCCAGATGCGATTTTCAGATTCAATCTCGCGAAAATCAGGTGTCATCTTAACGTTTCGATGTTTCGTCGTTTAATGCAACAGCAGTGAAGATTCGACGACGCCATTGCTGGCAATGGAATAGTTCTTGTGTACGCGGAGGGGTGGGTCGCGAGGGGGTTGGTCGAAGTATATTACCAGCGTTACGCTGGTAGCAACCTCGCTGTCGCTATAATCTGTTTATAAAACAATTTGCGGACCAAGTGATGCGTGAGATACAATATATCTACAAACATTGTTAGCATCGGCCCAATGAGGATTCGGCTGGTTGGCGAGAGAGTGACAGACACAGACAGTTTCCAGAGGAGGTGAAGGACTTCTCTCTTTCGATCTTTCGAGGTTTTTTTTTTTCGAGGTGATTTAATAATGACTGAGCAACTAAGTTTTCGATCTACGACTCAAGGTCAGTCTTATATTTTAAGTTGGATTTTAATATTGACACTGAAACTACCAAAGATCAATCATCAGATTGATTTTTGTTACAAATTTCGTAGATGTAAAACTTTTACAGATTCTAATGATTGTTCGCAAAAATTGTATCACGAAGTTCTGCGTTCTCTTTACTTTCACGTTTCTGATGGAAAAATTCCATGCTTTAGTCGTCGGTAGTTGTAGCGTTAATAAAATAAGCTGAGTAACCAGAGTGATTAATACAGAAATTTTTTGTAACAAATGATTTTCAGCAAAATGTATGATTAAAGTTTTGTCTGTGTTTCTTAACCGTATCCTTGCCGCAAACTTTCTGTCGTACCTCAATCATCGACGTTTCTAGAACAGTTATGTCTCGATCCTTCTAAAAACGCTACTAATCGCTTTGAAATTTCAAAGAACGCTGTTATTAAAAATTGCGACGTGAAACTTGGTTCCATTTCGTTCTGTCAGGCGGTTGGATCGGCGAAAGGGAAGATCAATGAAGAAATCAATTTTGCGAATCCAAGTATCGAACGATCGACTTGCCGCTGTCGTCAACTCGATTTCTAAACTCCATTTAAGCTAAAGCGGCGGCTAGATAATCGGCCGGTCGTTACCCAACGATTATTCCTAGCAGTAGCTACCGCCTGGTTGCAGCACGCTTCCTAGCAAAAAACGTCTCGCGATAACGAAGCATTGGAGGCAACAAAGCGAGAGAAAAAGAGAAAAGGGGGAGAAAGAGGCAAAAAAAAAAAAAAGAAAAAGGTAACAGAGAGGGCTATCGAACGAGTTGCAAAAAGGAAGCTTAGGCATCGAAGCAGTCGGGGGTTACACGAAGCGATAGGTGCACGCGCACGCGAGACGACACGGCGCGGTGCAGCGCGGCACACAGCCGCGCCGTGCGCATTCGAAAGAACTGCAACAGAGCTCGTTTTCTCGAGCCCCGCGTCGGGCGCGTTCACCGTTTTAATTAATCGGATCCGAGATTTCGTTATTACCACCGATTAGCTCACGTACCAATGCGCATATTTTTTCGAACGTAAAACGCGAGTAGAGACTAAAACATCAACGCCCCGACGGTCTGCTAGCTGATGACGGACAAAACGTGTATCACGCTCTCTCCCCTGTCGCTACACCCCATCCCTCCCGTTCTCCTCTGCCATTCGCGTCGTCGTCCACTCGACGAGCCACCGGTCCACTCTCTCTCTCTCTCTCTCTCTCTCTCTCTCCTCTCTTTCTGTTTTTCGCTCTTTTTCTCTTTCTCTCCGGTTCTGTCCAGAGCGTGTCCATGTGACTAGCCCACCCCGCCCGCTCGTATACCGTGTTCGTTGAACGCTCGTCATCCTTTCGCAGGATGCAGCGTTGCATCGGTGTCCTGCGTGACGCTACACTTCACGCAACAGTAATTTCATCGTTATTTTTATAAATTGGGTGGCCAGGGTTAACGCTCCAGCTACCTCGCCCGTCGGATTACAGCTTTTTGTAATATTAAAGTTCAACGCCGCTCTACGTGTCCGGCACCCGTTGTACATATTTTCGCGTATACACATTCTGCTGCCTAGCCCACCCCTCCCCCTCCCCCTCCCACCCTCAGTTCGCGCGGTGCTCCTCCTCCGTTTCACCCTCGTGCCACCGCTCCGTGTCACTGGCCGTTTCGTCGGCCGGTTGTTTGTCCAACAGGCAACGACGAAATTATTACGATGCCGCCGGCGAACGAGTGTGAAACGCGTCGTTCGTACACGATTCTGCTCCTTTGCTCGCCACCAGACCAGCGAAACAGCCGGAGATTTCGAATCGGCTGACCAACTGACGAGAAAGTTAGTGGCGATAATAGTTAGCTCGTAGAGAGAATCTTTGTCGGCGGACAGATTTGCTGGCAACAGCCGTACACACAGTGGAAACTTGACAAGACATTGGTGTTTCTCAGTCGGTATAATTTCAAGTGTTTAAATTTTAGAAACAAATTAAAGTACATTTGCTCCGTCTAGAAGTGACATGGCTGCAGTTCTAAACAATAATCATTCCCAATCGATTTCCATCTTTAATTAACCTCTTAAGCACGGCTGAATTTTGCGCGGGCGGGTTTCTCTGTACGGCAGAGTTCAACGCGAGTACATTGGAATGAAGTTTTTGATGATTAACATAATATTTTTCTCAAAGATATGATACACATACTTTAAAAAGAGCATCTGGTATATTAAGAGCAAATGGTATATTTATTTAAATAAAAAGCAACAGCTCATACCTGACACTGGCGTATCAGAAACAAAGT